TTATTAGAGAGTAGGCTTAGATTAGACATCCGCAAGAACTACAAAATCTGTGTGATTAACTCTTGAGGTGGTAACAGAGAGGACAAATAACACTGTATACACACAAATCACATATATTTTCTGATTAATGAAGAACCAGCATTACTATCATGTCTTATTTTCAGTTCAACTTGACAAACTGATGAAATCTGCAACAAACAAAATAGCATCTCACAGCCTGACCCTATGCCATAAAATATTTCAGTGACCTTCTCCAGAAACAGTACAGTTTAGGATGAAACAAAGTTCTGTTCCTCTCTTGTATTTCCATAAGCCCATAACCTTTTTAAACACAAATGAAAAAATAAGTTGAAAGAAAATGCTCTCACAGGAAAAAAAAAAAAACCCTTTTAAAGGAGACCTGCTCAAAATCTTGTGAGGTTTCTGCATTTTTCTGTAGAAAAATACATAACATTTACACAGAAAACATTAACTTTGGCATTTACTGAATGCCAAAGAGTTTAAAAATCATTGAAAGTATAGTTTCAAACAGCACATCAAGCTCCATCACTTCATGTAATTAGTATAAAGACATAACATACATCATTGTATACCATAACCAATATGTGAGATGCTGAAGCCCTGTGTGTCCATAAGTTAGTGTTACTTGCTATTTTTTAATTAACAGCACCTACCTTTCTGCAGATGGCCACTCTGACATTTACATCTGCTCTATGACCCAGGTGTACTACAGCTATTAGGTCTCTATAACTCACAACAGGATCTGCAGGGGGAAACCAAAAGAAAAAAGAAAGAAAAAAAAGAGTACATTCAAAAACTTCAAGGCAAACTTTAAACACAGAGAAATAGCAAACAATTATTTTGGTAGCGTTGGAGTGATGTTGTACCTGTGACGGTTCAGGAAATATACAAGGAGGCAAGGATTTCTGTGAATGGTATCTCTTACTGGATCAACTGCATGATTGGGATAGATTTAGACAAGCTTTTGAATACAAACGATGCAAGAGACCTTAAGAAGAATTAACTGCATTCAAAGTCTTTTCTAAGTCTACCCCAACCATGTGCAAGTGGTCCAATACCACCCACAGAAATAAATCTTTTTCAGTTCACCTTTAAAAAGAGAGTACACTAACACATTAATTAAATTGAAACCACCAATATCAAGGCAAGACAGGTCCCTTATAGAAAGTAGAAGGCAATTTATTTATGGATGGTACAGAGAGGGCTGAAGTATTTAATACCCTTTTTTACTTCAGTTTTCACAAATCAAGTCAGCTACCAGATGATGAGTGCAGCTGGCAGTAAAGATAGGGAAGGAGACAAACCACTTTGAGTGGTAAAAGAACAGGTTAGGGCAGTTCTCAACCTAGTTAGACACACAGTACTCCTAATTAGATTCAAGGCACTCTTCATTAGATGCAAAATACACCTGGGGAAATGCCAGCTCTTAGTTTTCACTCAGTTTCCTCACCACAGAAAAATAACAGACCAATTCTTCTGTTGGGAAGAGCTCAGAAAGACCACAGCAGGGCACTAAGAATTCCCATTTAAAATTTCTGAGCTTATCTTATGAATTATGTTTGCACCTTTAACAGTGCTAACATTGCATGCCACCCTTGAAAGGATGTCATGGTAGCCCAGACTACTGTGGCACTGCAGTTAAGGATTACTTAGAGAAGCTAGAAACTTTTGAAGTTGGCAAGGCCAGATGACAGAGAGCCAATTCCTTCAGTACTCCAGGGTAACTAATTTCAGAAACATTAACTATTATTTTGAGAATTCCTGGAGGTCAGGATGACTGGAAAAGGGCAAACATAGTGCCCATCTTTAAGAAAGAAAAATAGTAGTTCTGGGGAATTATAGACCAGATTATACCTGGAAAGATGAAGGAGCAGGACATTAAGGAATCTATTTCTAAGCACCCACAAGAGGACAAAGTGATCAGAGACAGCCAGCTTGGATTCACCAAGAGTAAATCATGCCTAAATTAATTTTGTTCTATGATAAAGTGACATGCTGTGGGGATGCAGGAGAGCAGTGGATACGATATACCTGAACTTTAACAAGGCGCTTGACATTGTCTCTCACAACATTCTCATTAAAGAGCTAAGGAAATACAGACTAGATGAAAGGACTATAAAACAGATATGTAACTGGTTGGATCATCATGCTCAATGCATAGTCATTAATGGCTCAATGTCTTGTTGGGAGGAGGTAATGAGTGGATTTCCCAAGGGTCTGTCTTGGGCTCATATTGTTTAATATCTCCATTAATGGTCTGGGGACTTAGTGTAGCAAGTTTTCAGATTTCAACAAGTTGGGTGCAAACACTCTGGAGGGTAGGGCTAGGATTCAGAATGACCTGAATGATTTTAGACATTTCTGCAGGTTAATCAGATGAAATCCAGCAAGGACAAGTGCAAAGTCCTGCTGTTAGGATGAAACAGTTTCATCCATAAACACAGACTTTGGAATGACTGCAGAAAAGGATCTGGAAAATATACTGGACAATAAGATCAATATGAGCCAACAGTGGGTTCTTGCTGGCAACCCCCTCCCCCAAACATAATGTATTAACAGCAGTGTCACTTACTAATCAAGAGATGTGATCCTTCTGTTACATTCAGTGCAGGTGAGACCTCACCTGAAAGAAAGTCTCCAGTTTTGGAACCCACCCTTCAAGAAGGATATAGACAAACTGGGGAAAATCCAGCAGTGTGAGACAAAAATGATTACCTGGGAAACATTATTTAAGGAAAAGATGACAGAACTAGATTACTTAGCCTGGAAAAGAAGACTGAGGGGGATCTGTTAACAGATTTCAAATACTTAAAGGTCAGTTATAAAAAAGATGGTGACAGACTATTCTGTGTGGCTGTAGAGGACAGAACTAGGAGCAATGGTATCAAACTGGAGCAGAGGAAATTTAGGCTGGAGACTAGAAAGAATCTCTTGTTATGAGGGTGGCTAAGCATTGGAATAGGCTACCTGTAGAGGCTGTGGAATCCCCATCCTTAACAATTTTCAAGAGCAGGTTAAACAGACACTTGACTAGGTTTAGTTTGGGATGATCTTGCCTTGAGCAGGAGGCTGAACTAGATGACTCCCGAGTTCCTTCCAGCCCTACTTTTCTATGAATAGACATTAACCTGGAATTCATTAAAAACAGACTTTATCTGAGTGTTAATTACAACAAGCAGATATACAGAGTAGGAGAGGTTGCTTAGAGAATATCGTTGTCAAATACATTTGCCATAAAAAAAAGTTTTAGTCATATTCTGACAATATCTCATACCCTAGACTGACAAAGTCCTGTGATATTAAGTGGAGCTGACAACAACTAGTTTAACACCAGCTGGTGACACATGAAGAAGTGATTTAAAAGATGACAGCAAATGAGAAAAGGCTACTTTCACTGTGAATGTGTAGTTTGTGGTAGCTAATCGCAAAATGTACTTGAGGTCTGATCACTTCAGAAGAGGTGATGTCATGGCTGTGAGTTTGGAGAAGCTGGAATTTATACCCAATTATTTTGGTGTATTTGAGTTTATGTTGTGTCCAATTGCTACACTTATTTAACATGAGAAATGAAACAATCATAAATTAACGCTGCATTAAAAATATACTAATCAACTGAAGAGAGGAGTGGCTAGCAGTTATATTACTTTATGGTAAAGTGGGGCTCCCTGACTAGCCACAGTGCTAGTTTCCCCACCTGCCTCTGGGCACGCCACCTACCTGTCTCACCTGCCATGCCTTGATGGAACATAATTGAGGTGTTAATTAGGCGGTAGGCTGCCCTTTCTTGTCCGGTGCCAGGGGCGCTATCTGCAGCTCCATTCCTCCCCTACATGGCAGCCCAAACCTTGCATATGGCATTTCAGGCAGTCAACTCAACCGTCCCTTCCTCCCATTACCTGTGGCCCCTGCCTTGGGAACTTCGGCTTCCCTTTAAACCCTGGCCCCATCTCAGGCCAGCCAGGACCCTGAGCTTCTTCGCTCTATATGGGCACCCCTTGCGGTGAGCTCCTGGCCCTTTTGACCCTTCCAGTCCTGGCCCCAGCACTGACCACTCAAGTCCCTTAGTTGGGTCTATGCCTGCTGCCTGCACTCAGGGATCGGGGTCCCCCATTCCTGGCACAGGTGCTTCATGAAGTGTGCCTGGCCCCACGGGGGTCACTCACCCCAGCAGGCTCAGGCACCCCATGGAGCTTACCTGGCCGTCCCTGGATCAGATGGTTCAAATAACCCACCCAGAGGTGAGGGCTGGGGTTAAGGTGTCCCTACTCACCTTTCACCAGGGTGGTAACTGGCCTGACATTTCCTGGGGGCTCCCATGCCACAGAGCCCCACCAGGCCACCCACTCCCAACAGGGTGCAGTTTTTGGTCATGCTCAGGACCTGGAGCCTCCAAACCATTTCCTTTAGCTCCTGCCCTTACCTCCAGGATGTTGCATGCAGCCTTGCAATGCTTCTGCCTAGCCTGCCAGCAGCAAATTGCTCTGTTTATATAGGCAGCCAGAGATCTAAAATGGCTACCACAATCAAGCACCTGCTGGCTGCTTGGCTCAGCCCTTAAAGTGGCAGGCACCAACAGTGCCCTGCCACATACTGTACAAAGAAGTAAAGAAAGCTTACGTTCTTGTAGGTGGCCTCATGTCTGAACTGGATCCACTCTCTGATCCTTTTATTAATTTTCTATCTTTTTCCTCCCCACGAGTTTCAGAAGCCATAACCCAAAAGTGATGCCATACAGTAAGAACACATGCAATACTAAATAATTTAACTATAAGATAAGTTACACATACAGAATTAAAGCTCTACATAAGCCCTATACAAGCTCTGGTGGTACCTTTAATTCAAAAGCACAAAGCAAGCCTATATCTTACAGTTATAAAGAACCGCACCTCCCCCCCCCAGATTGGCCAAATTTTTGTTCTTGTATTTCTTCAACTATACTTCTTCAACAAGGCAAATTATTTTGACAATAATTGCTAACTAATTCAATCTTGAAGTACATTTTGTTAATCATGAAAATAAGGGTTTAATTTATGAAGGGGCAAACGGTTAAATTGTTGAGATGAAGCACTTAACAGTAATTAAGTATACATTTTTTCATTATGATGTAGGTAAATCAGCTGTTGTTGATGAAATCCAATATAAAGAGAAGTTATATTATCCAGCTTTGACTAATATATACTAGTAGCTACCCACATATCTCCAATTACCTGCATATAGAACTTGGTTGAGAAGATTTTTAATAAGAGAAATGGTAACCGGCGAATCATTCAGAAGCAGACCCAGTCCAGAATATCCCACTTCCCTGAGTCTCAAACGCTGTTTACTCCGTTCATAAACTTTAGTACATTTCAGCATCTGCTCTACAATCTACAAAGAAATGTGCACAAAAATAACAAAGAAAGTTATATGGGACTTTCATACACAAATACCAAACCACCTTTTTTTTTAAACTAATTGTGTCAGCCATAATTTGTTTGTGGATTGTGCACGTGCACTTTAAAGAAGTCACCTCCAAAAACAAATGCCAATATAAATACAGATGAGTGAACCTAGTTATTGTATTTTGTCTTTTAACATCCCAATGAGTAAAATATTCTAATTTACTGGAATACAACAAATTCCACAGTGTTAAGTACAGCAAGTAAAACCTGTGTAGATTTTGACAACTTCTAGTCAGTACACCAAGAGCAAAGAAAAAAAATGTAAAATAGTCCTACAAATGTTTTATATAAACTGTATACATTTTTAAAAATGGTTTACTGCAAATGTAGTTCATATGCAAGAGTATGTATGTATATATTTGTGAAGCTGCTATTAAGAAACATACAATTCAATGCATTACCTTGAATACAAATTCCTTTAGCTTATCAGTATATCTCTGATTCAACAACAAAGCATACAGGATGTCAGCATTTCCTGGTTCAAAAAGCAACAAAAAAAGCTGGTCTGGGTTTGGGCTGGTATGAAGTAGGCTGAAGAGAACATCCAGAATACCACAAAGCTACAAAATAAAAACAAAACAAAATCTAATTAAACCCTGACTGTATAGAACCTTCATTAATTATGCCACATTTGGGGGAAAATATTCTTGGTTACTATACAGCACCTTATTTCACATATTCTGAATAGTCCAAATATACTTCCCAAACTTCCTATATTCAGAACTAGAAATCATACTATATTTAAAACTAGGAGCATCAATTAAAATACCACATTTCCCTGATTCCCAGCCACATTTTTTTCCTGTGGAGAAAAAAAACATGGGGAAAACAACCTTCTTTTAGTATCAAGTACAGAACCACTTCAGTCAGGAGCTGTGGGGAGCTGCAGCATGTCCCCATCTGATCCAGATGCAGGAACCACAGAGCTGCTCCTGCACCACACTGCAGGGACCAGCTATGTGGGAAGCCCCATTTGACAAGGAACAGCAGCATCAGTGCACAGATTCCGCCTTCCAGTGCCTGCTCCCAGGTGGCACAGGAGAAATGTAGGCAGGAAACAAGCATTAAAGGAGGAACCTGTGTGCTGCTGCCACCATCCCTTGCTGTGTTGGGCTCCCTGCATAGCTACTCTCTACAGCATGGGAGAGGAGTGGGTCAGGAGTCGCTCTGGGGCTCTTCCTGTGACAATCAGCTGGGGACAGCAGTGGAAGTGGATAGCAGGCAGGGGAACAAGGGGCAGAAGTCAAGCTGCATGCCCCATTTGCTGCCTGTTCCCATTCCCTGCCCCATGCCCCTGCTGCTGCTTTCCCTGCCAGAGTGGTGGTGGGGGCACAAACTCAGGATGATTCTCCAATTAGATTATATACATGGAAAATAATAACAAATTTAGAATCTAATCATTGTGCATGGTCATCTTAAATTCCAAGTCATCTTGGTTGTGGGTAAATATATTACTAACAGTGTAGTACTCAATGCAGTTTCACAGTTCACTTGATTCTATGGCTGGCCTCAGTTATATCAATAAAGCATCATACTGAACTGTATTTTTCTTATATTCTCTTTCTAATGAAGATATGATCAAGACTCCTAAACTGAAAGATAGAAGCAACTGTAACTGTTCACTCACTTGTTCCTCTTCATTAGTGGCAGCTATGTATCCCATGATGCTCTGCATTTCCTCATGTGCCCCACCTTTGCTTAAGAAATACTTAATCAGTCCAAAGAGGAATGTACGTATTGTTCTGAGGTCATCTGGAGCCAAGTCACTGTCTTCATAGCCACTTCTAATGGAGACAAGAAAAACAGATGGTAAAAAAATGATGTTTCTTACATTATGCAATGGGAGACTTAGGAATAACAAGTTGATTGCCAATACTTCGGACTACCTGTAGGGATGTGAAAGGTTAAACTTAATCCTTTAACCAATAAGCTCAGTGATAACTGATTAGTTTACTAGTTATTGTTTAGTGTGGGGCAGGGCACAATATGGTAGGAAAGGGAGGGAAGGGAAGACATGTGGTGCCCCAGCAGGAACCAGAAGACAGCAGGGCAGGAAGGAGAAGGGGAGAGGCAGGAGCCAGGGGGACTAGTATCTATAGCCCAAGAAGTTAAAGAGGAAAACAACAGGCAGCCTAATGACTTTTCAGTTGAGCAATAGCTGGTCATTCACAGGTGCTTGTGGGCTGTATTGTCTGGTTGGGCTTGCCACTGACTTCCCCCCCTCCTCCGTCCCCCGACCCCCAGAGGTCCCCAGGAGCAGCTCCCAGCAGTAGCTGTGACCAAGCTGCTGTGTTTTTGGTTACCTGCTTAACTGATATAATTAAAGGAGATTAAACAAATAATTTTTAATGATATTTACATCCCTACTGATTAATAAACCTGCAGTTTAATTAATTGAATGATACTGTTATCCTCTTTGAAGTAAAAGAACAGAATAGGAGCAGCTTTTTGGTTCTCTAATGCCCTCTGGTATAGAATACCTCTGATTTGGGCAGAACATAAAACAGGATTTCAGCTTTCATTTATACAGAAAGATCATTAGCCTTTGCCCTTGAAGTTCCATTGAAAGTTCTAAATTGCTTTAAGTTTATCACTAAGATTATTAGAATCATCAGGATAACTTATCAATCGCCTTACTCAGCTTCTTTCAGACACTTTCACCCTTTAGAGCATGAATGTGGTAGATTTAGTGATCATCAACCAATTGTTTTTTCTGGATAGCCATGATACTACACAAAAATACTAAAAATCCTCTTCCATCTTGTAAACTCTACTAAGTTTTCAACAAATTTCCAGTCCTTTTAGCATGAGTTTTATATAATCTTGTAAAAGTCAACTGAGATGAAGGAGAATTAACTAACTATAGGAACATGTGCAGCCTACAATATTAATTCTTGTTTTGTGCCTGGCTTCTTGAAAGGAAGCTGTTGAGACAATACAACAAATTATGAAGCAGCAGAATAACTTGAGTCATACCCGTAATAAATCCTAAGTGTGTCAAGTAGGAACTGCACTCCATACTTCTTTCTGAAGAGCCTCCTACTATCTTTGATGGTTGTGGAAAGGTATTGTATATGTCCTAAAATACAAAATGTTTTCTGTTAGAACCTACAGAGAGACATCCACATAGGAAAAAAAAAAAGGTACAGTGTTTTAATATTAAAAAACTGCATGTTCTTACCAATTTGGAAAGGGAATTCTCCATGGTTCCAGATACTGAAGTCAAAGAGTAAGTGTTGATACATCTGTTGCAAGAGTTGCACATTTTTTTCTACAGAGACTTGTTCAATCAATAACTGCACAGCCACCAATACATTCACATCCATCAAGTTGCTTGGCACCTAAAATTCAACCCAACAAGATAAAGAATATATATTAGTAATAATAATAATAATAATAATAATAATTATTATGAGGCAACGATTTTTATGGTGCCTTTTACTGAACCAACTGTATAGTCTTCCATGCTATAGTAGGGATGGACTATTGTTTCTTTATGATGGTCCAGGCAGTGTATAAGAGGCACAAAAGAGACCATAAAAACTATCAAAAAAATCCTTGACTCTTATACACTGCCTGGATCATCGCAGCTACAAGTCTCCAAGCCTACTAGTACTAATCTGGTGCTGGTTATTTAATGTCCAGCATATGTATCTTCTGTTAAACTGCTACCTAAAAAATAAGGCCCTCTTGAATTTCACATATCAATATTTTCTTTCCATATGGCAATTCTGTTCAAGCAAAAAGCTCTTTAGAAATAATTAAAAAATCCTTCCTTTTCTGATTTTAAAATACTTTTTGTATAATATTTTTGTCTGGTTTGTGTTCCTATTTAAATAGCTGGACAGCAAAAATCCACAACAAAACACAGAAGACAGACAAATCATAATTTCTTTTTGAAGGCATAACAAAAAACTACCATTTTCTTTCATCAAAACAATGTCTTCAGAAGTCTATGAAGTGACATACATATTGTAGAAGTATAAATATTGTATCTGTACATATGACAGTCAGAAGAGAAGCACAAAGCTAGTTAGGCTAATTCCATGCTGTATACCACCAAGCCTAAATATTTTCTTCACAGTGGATGCATCTATACTAACTGCATTAATTGTGCAGTAGACTAATTTGCTGCAGTGTAAAGCATCACAGTCTACATGTGCAACACTATTAGACACCAGCAAACTCATTTTAACTGCCATAAGTACTGTCAGGGACAAGTACTGTCTTACTGCAGTGAAAATAACTGCACCTAAACGCACATGTAAATGCCGACTTGGGCATACATTGTACCTGGTCAGCCCATGCAGCAGGCAGGGGTCTGACCCCTGCCTGCTGCCTAGCTACAGGGCTCCACACACTGGGGCAGCCAGCCCCAACACCAACACCCAGAGCCTGAGGATGACCTCCCCCTCCCAAGTCCCCTGCCACCCTGGGGCTTCTCTGCCCCAACTCAAACTGCTGCAATCCCAGGCACAGTGTCTGCACATGCACCCTGGACCACAGTTTGAGCATCTACATGTACCATCACGGCACCTCAAGTGCTCATGTAGATGCACCCAGTGGTGTGAATCTCTGAAAAGTATTGCTATTTACAGTAAAATCATGGCCTCACGGAAGTCTATGGGTTTCAGTGGAGGCTGCTTTCACCTGCCATATTCACTGCACAAGGAATTCAGGTTTGCTCACCTTCTGTAACAAGGCTCCTAGGGTAGCAACTCCATGGGAGTGAATGAGATTTTCTTGATTAATAGGATGCCTTTGGATAAAGTGTTTTATCATCAAAATGAAAGTTGCAACAATATTCTTTTCCAGGCGAGCCTCTGCAAAACAGCATATCCTTTAGTTAAGCCCTGTTTTGCAGTTGCGCTATTTTGTTAAATTAGGAGGAAAGAGACATGAAATCAAATGTCTTAACTTTCTCACAATATTCTTGAACTTCCTAACTCCCAGTATATTTACCATCTAAGCTGTAGCCAGTTTTTAGATCCTGAGATGTAGAGCTACAGTCATTACTTTCATCTCCAATCATGACTTCAGCATCTATTCAATTGTGCACTTGGACAAGGCATTCCTCTCTTTAAACCCACAATTTGGATCATCTCTCTGCACTTGCTCTCCACCTAAAGTTCAAAATGTCCTCTTCTCTCCTCTCTCTTTTGTTTTGCATAGTATATCTAGAAAGATTTTTAAATTTTACTTCACCATTTTTATTCCAAAATTAATGTCTATTTTTTTCTATACAAATACTGATTTCTAAAGGGGTTCTGTTCAAACTACAAGAATTTCATGCCAAGCTGAAATTCAACACAGCTAAAAAAGTACTTAAATAGTTTTCCCTTTTTAATTTTAAAGACTGAAATCTGTCCATAAACAAATAGCTTGAAAAATCTAAATGAAAATGTATAATAGGCTACTGGTCTATAACATGAGAAAGTTCCGTGTTCATCTTATCCAGCACCACTGAAACAATGATATATTCTTCTATTAATCTTAATGGACATTGAATCAGCCTCTTTATTACTTTTCTAAGTAGTCAAGCCACATTTTGTTTAGAAATGGAACAACTACATTTTTGACTCCTTAATATGTCACAAACAAATAACAAAAAGTTAAGATATCACAGCTAAGGTAATTAATATTCAATGTATACGCTCCTCCATTAATTTTAAGCAATACCAACACTTTGATGGCTGATTCAGATGCTCAGGAGCAAAAATAGTTTATTAGCATTATAGTTAGTACATTAAAGTAACATATAGTCATAGAAGCCAGATTTGAATCACTAAGTATGCACTAATAGTGGCAACCTATTTTTTTTTAATTAAATCCTTAGCTTTAACCTAATTTCTGGCCCATAGTACTTTCCTACCTGAAGCCTTGGTGGAAGTTAATACCACCCAGTCTCCTTCAATAGGAGTCAGCAATTCTGGAGGTATAGTGGTCCCATCAGACCTCTCAGGAACCTGTCCACTGAGAAAGCTGATCTGCTCCAGCAGTGGAAACAACACATTTAACCCACCGATACAATTTATCATATCCTGAAGAGAAAGCAAGAGAAACAGACAGGAGAAAAAAAAGTATGTATATACATACTGTATGGATATTTTTAAGTGTAAAAGAAAAAGTATCCTCTTCTTTAAGAAAGGCATACCATATTTACTTGAATACAAGACAAGGTTTTTCCCCCCACAATCAGCATGGGGGAAAAAGTCCCTTGTCTTATATTTGCATATAAAGAATCCTCATTAAATAAACTGTCTATCATTAAATTGCTACCAAAAGCAGCATATACTCAGCAGTGGAAATCAACTATGAAGCTGAATAAAATGCAGCTAACACTGAGAATGACTATAAAACACATGGCCCATATTGAGCAAACATACTGAAGGGAACCTACCTTT